GCCCAGCCCAGCCCAGCCCAGCCCAGCCCAGCCCAGGCCGGCCCCACCCCACCTGCTGGATGCAAAAGTCCAGGAACTCGTGCCACGGCAGGAAGGACGGCCGCCCCGCGGCGTCCACTGTGTGGGCACTGGTGGCCACCAGGTACTCGCCAGCTGGCACCTGGCCGTGGTGTCCGTGGCAGCCTGCCCGCGGGGCCGAGCGAGGGGCGCGTCAGCATTGGTTTTGCTGGTGTGCACCATGCACAGGCGGCGGCAATCCTGCTCTGCACGCATCTTATGTGGGAGGCTTTCTTTCAATACTCGCTGGATGCCTGGCCTCCCACCCTGGTTTCCAGGCCGTATGTGGCCCCTGTGCCCCCTTCAGACTGGCCTTTGCCCTCTGAAGCATGCCAGTCTTCAGCAGCCCTCGCTTCCCAGCGGGGGCAGGCGCCCATATAGTGGCAAAGGGCGCTGTCCCAGACCCAGAGTTTGCATGAGGCAAGAAAAAGGTCAATCTTGCAACCCTCATCAAAAGACCCACCCACCAGTGACCATCTCAAAGCTCACAGCCATCCGCCGCTCCTCCAGCGACACCATCAGCCGCCGCAGTGCGGCCAGCGCGGCGTCGCCGCCTGCGCCATCGCCGCTGCAGCCGCACGACCGCTCGTAGTGAGCGCGCAGCAGGGCGGCGGCGCCGGCTGTGTAGTGGTTGTCAAGGGAGTTTTTTGCCGCAAAACCCTGGCACGCGTGTGCATGTATTCGTACAGGGGGTTGCATACATGAGAGGAAGGACAGCAATGGGACCTGGTGTAGCCAGGCTTAAGAGGGATGCAGACGGCAACGCAGGGCTGGCGCCGGGCCGCGCGGCCGCGGGTCTGAGGCAGCGCAACCTACGGCAGGTAAGAGCTGCGGAGGCACCGGGAGCGGGCGTTCCAACACCTGGCTCCAGCCAGCATGACACGCGCCAGCCCTGCCCCGCGCCCGCGCCCACCTGGCCGGCTGACAGCGTCACCAGGGAGCCGGAGTGCTTGATTGTGACCACCATGTAGCGCTCTGCCGCTCCTGCCGTGACCTGCCGGAAGCGGTGCGTGTCCGTGCAAGATGGATTCATGGGATGCTTGCAAATTTTCTGGTCAGCCTCAGTCCAACAAAGGGTTGCAGCCTGCATGGCATGGCAATGGGCTTGGTGCGATGGTGGTCACACAACAGCATGGGATGGTAGGTACGAGCCACTTGCCTGTGTGGTCAACAGTGTGTGTGTGTGTACGGGTGTGTGTACGTGTGTGTGTGTGTGTGTGTGTGTGTGTGTGTGTCTCAATACAACAATCTGAGACACCTTGCAGCCCTGCTGCGCAGAGGCCCCCACCTGGTCTGCTATGGCCTCGTCCTGGCCCTCATTTTCAAACTTTGGCAGGAACGCCTGCTGCACGCCCGCAGACAGCGCACGCGTCACACTTGCGTCTGTCACCACCTGTCCCACGGGGTTTGAATGCAGGGGAGCGGCAGCCGGGTCGGCTGCCGAGGGGGAAGAGCAAGCACACAACTTCGGACCAGCTGTTAGGAGTGGTGCTGGAACGCCGCGCCTAAGTGCCTCCGCCGCATGCATGCATTGGACATGTGCAGGCCACCCAGCAAATCTGACTGCATGACAAGGGCATGCATGTAGGCAACTAGAGAGGCATGCGTGAAGGGTGCGCGCATGCAGCCGCAAGCCCTGCGTCCGCCCGCGCCTTGAGCAGCATCCCCCTGAGCAGCGGCGCGTCGGAGCGGGAGCAGTGGCGCATGTACTTCTTGAACGCATGGTCGCTCAGGACATGGACCACAATGAAGAAGGTCCTCACGCCACCGCTGCCGTTGCCGCTTCGCTCGCAGCAAGACAGGGGATTGCCTGGGTCTGCGTCGCCGCTGCCACTTTCCCTGCCGCCCCCGCCGCCGCCATCCGCCGGCAGCTGCTCAAACACCTGCAAAATGTTGTTGGCAGAGGGGGAAAACACGGAAGCGACCACAACAGATTTACTGGTGAGCCACTTGGCCTTGTGGGCGGCGCTGGCCAGGAGGACGCCCTTGACATTTTGGGCTGCTGTGTGGGTCCTGATGGTCATGCCTGCAAGCCATCTCTTTCTGGAGACATTCGTCCGCGCCTGCCTGCAATTGGTTGCCCACCTTATATGAGACAGGCAGACACAACTCTTTGCACAGCTGCACCAGGTTGGCTAGCGCGACGGTGCCTGCCGCCGCTGTTGCAGGCACCGCCGACGCCATGGTGGATGTCAGCGGCGACGCCAACGCCGTCGGGTGTGGTGACTTATCAGGCCACTAATGTTTTTTGTGGAGGCTTCTCAGCTTTCGACAGCTGCAGATTTCCCGAGATCAGTCTCCAGTGCTGCTCCGACCAGGTACGGTATATGTCGTCTAGCCCTCTGGCAACTCGATGAAAAGACGATGCGGGCCGCGTTGATTGCGCACGCGAGCAAACATTTAAGTTGCAGGCACGCATGGGCCAAAACCTGCACAGATGCTCCAAGCAGCTGCCGCGCAGCTATTGATAATTCAAGGCGGAGGTGATACCGGTACATGCTCGCCGGTGTGGCCTGTCCATGACAGCGGTACATCCAGGAGCTTTAGATTTGTGTGAGACCTAGCATATGCGCCTGCAAAGCCCAGTGCTGGCTGGGTGTAAGCAAGTGGTGCAGCCAGTGGCCGGACATCGGTCTACGCATGCTGAACTGGCCTGCAGGCCGTTGGATGACCTCCGTGACGCACATGTGCCTGGCCCTGCTTCAAAAGAACAATGGATGTTGCCCCATGGCATTCACCTGTTGGGCCCATCCTGGCTGCACGCTATCTGCCCATCTGGAATGCTGGGCACAATGATGCCCAAGTAGTGGTGTGCCCAGGATGGGCCGGCAATGATCAACCAGTCGTCATTTGTCTTACACCTTTGCGGGTCAGGTATGGCAGCGCTCTGCCCCGGTACCAAAACACTCCATGTTGCATGAATCAACGCACACGCCACCCCAGATTTTTACAAGCGGCTTCCCCAGGTTGTTCTTGCAAAGGTCGAGGGGCAGCACGGACACGAAAGGTTTGGCAGGGAGGAGGGGTATTGCAACCACTGCAGGTGTCAGAATTGGCTGACATTTTGTACTGTAATCAAGAGTTTGCTGGTAGATGTTGTATTGGCGGCTAGCTGCCATGCATGTATGGATGTGGCCCACGCACCATCGCTGCGGAAGGCAGCGATGCACCGAACCCAGTACTGAAGCAAAGTGCGAAGCGGCTGCAAATGCAAGTCGGCAGGCGCTCAACAGCAGCAGTTGGACTGCATTTGTGTCAGACAAACTGGCTGCAGGTCATGGCGCACGCACTGTTGTGGAGAGCTTGCGCCCACCGAAGCCTGTGCAAGCCCATGTGCGTATCTTTCACACCCCCGGAACACATCAAGGGTTTAGGAGCAATCTTTGTCCCAAGGGGCATCTCCCTCCTAGTGTTCGCCCATCCCGCCATCAGCCTCCGCCGCTACTTCCTCCAGACGCAGCCGTGCCCGAAGCTGCTTCAGCTGCTTCTCATCCACGCGCCTGACAAAATGGACGGGCACGGGGCCCTCGCACAACAGCACCCCGTTGGTGGACCTGCCCAAGTTGCACAAGTGCGGCCCAGATGAGTCGTCGAGAAACCGAGGATGCCGCAATATGTCGTGTTTGCTTGGCGCTCGTGTATGCATTGTTTGCGCACCGCTGGTTTCAGGCATGGGTGCACCCATCCCTTCCAGTACACCCGAACCCCGGCCGCCACTCACGTGACAAACTCCAGGCCAGCCTGTATGGCCGCCCGCAGGTCGAGCAGCAGCAAGACTGTCGCCCAGTTGTTGGTGCGCTGGTGATGAGGTTCAGTCGCAAAGTGGATGTGGGTGCGGCTCATGCGGCGCAGCTCGCCGCTCTCCTGGATGGCACGCCACCTGGACACGAGTGGCATGTGGGTGGCAATGGCAGTGCGGGAATGGCGACAGCAACGGTGATGTGGGATTGGCGATGGCACCGAGAGGTACATGGGGCTACTCGCCTCAACGCAGAAGCCATAATGTTGCCTGAGGCTCAGGCAGGGCACGGTGACTTGGATACCTGCAAGCTTTGTTGCGCACCACGAACCGCTATTGCTGGCGCATGCGCATACGTGCAAGCGCGTCGCGAGATGAACACAGCAACTCACCCGTCCTCGCTAGTGACGTGCACCGCCACGGGTACATCTGCCGGGTCGCTCACACGCTGCAGCACCGGCTCAGAAAGCTCAAAGGAGTGTCCCTGAGCGGCGCGGATTCTCGGGGGGTCTACGGAATCATCCAGCACATAACGTCCCTGCGTTTGGTTGTGGATGCAGCACAATAGGGTCTCCACGAGGGCTAACTGCTCAGCTACCCACCCCTGCACCGCAAGACAGCCGCAGGCGTTGTGAAGGACGAGCGACACAGCGGGCGTGCCAAGTAATAGAATTCCAGGCATGCACGGCCCTGAAACCACCACCTTGGCATCAGCAGCGACGACAGCTCTGATGTCAGCCTCCGAGGGATGTAGCTTCAAGTGCGACAGCAGCACGGGCAGCGGCACCCACCCACTGGCATCGATCTCTGCAAACGGGTGGGATCGATGAGGATTCAGATGGTGGGGCAGCCACCGCGGGCACTGCTGAACAGTGTATGCTCATAAGCGGCCCCGCACGTCAACAGCGTATGCGCCTGCTCTGCGCCCAGCAGTGCTTCGATTTCTCCGCCTGCGGCCCATGCACCAGGCAAATAACATGGCAAACCAGAAGGCTATGCTGGTCCCACCCTGGGGCGGGTGGTGCCGCAGAATCCGAGACATCTGCTTGGATAAGGTCTTAAGAGCTGAATCTGACAGCACTGATCGTCCCACACGATCCATGGTGGTGCAGGGCGGGCTTCTTGCAGCAAAGCAAATCGTTACGATGATCTGTGTCTCGATTGTGTGTTGTCTATCTTAACGCATCCTTCAATATGGCCTTGAAACAAACTGCGGTGCCGTCAACATACAAGCAGGGTGGTGTTAAGGCATGCTGGGTTTCCGGCTTTGCAGCTGAGCGGCAGCTGGCAAAAGCAGGTGTCGGATGTGCGATGTCCTGGCACAATCTCAGAGTGGGCAGCAGCGGGCTAGCAAGGAAATCAAATTTTCGGGTACCAACCCCTTACTGAAGAGTCTTCAGTGAAGACATTCGGGAGTGTTGATGGTGGCCGTTGCAAATGCAAGCCGCCCCTGCTTTCATTTGCAGCACTGCAACTGGTGCGTTGCAATCCTCGCTCAGTGTTGCTGCCATTTCGTTCGTACCACCGTTCTCCCACGCACCTAGTGAACAAGAATGGTAACAACAGTTGACATCATGCACACAATTGAGGGGTTGTGCAAGTGGGGATGTGCAAGAGCGCGTGGAAAGCCGCTCAGCTTGCACGCACAAGCCGAGATGCCACCACCGCCAGCCGCTCCAGCCGAAACCATTGGCTGCCAGCTGTCTACACATAAGCCGTCTGAACATGCAGCAACCTCCGTTCCGCCCCGCTCCTCCCACCCCCGTCCAGCAGCCGCCAGCGCGAGGCGCTAGCGAGCCGCGTCCCAGAGGGTCCCGCCACTCATGTCCGAGCCATCGGTTCAGCTCAGCTCTGCATGCACCACCTCCACATCCTTCGCCTTGAGGGTGGCCGCCACCTCATCGATGGAGGCGTTGAGCTGCGGGGGTTGCAGAAGGCGGAGGTGCACGGCGGCAGGGAGATGCGTATGCCATGGTGGGCCGAGGGGCGATGGCGCCATGCAAGCATTCCCGTGCAACAATGTCACTGGCAGTGCACCCGTGCCAGGCCAGAGCTTTGATCACTGCTGTAACCCAGGCATTAAATGTATCAGGGGCTGTTATGCAGCCGCAAGCAATATGACGAGTCCCAGTCGCTCATTGCCCCCCCGTTGCCAGGACTTACCTGTGCAATCTTGTCAATCAGGTCCTGCTTTGTGGCCTCGGGGTCCTTTGGTACCTCCTCCTCCATGAAGCGCGGCAGCCGCAGCCGTGAGTCGTCGCCTAAGAGAGCGCGGCTGATCTGCAATGAGGTGTACGTGCATTGAGTGCGAACGCGTGGGCGCGGTAGCGCATGCGAGTGCGGTGGTGCAGTGAAGTGTGCGCAAGTGCGTTTATGCTGAAGCAAGTGAGTGCTTGAATAGATCTGTGAGTGAGTCAATGAGTGAGTGAGGTTGTGTGTAAATTGGTATGTGTGTATGTGTGGTGTTGATGAAAGTTTGTATGTGTGCCAAAAGTGTTGGGTGCAAGTGACACCATCGTGGTTGATTGGTTTTGTTTGTTTCGCACGTGAGTGAGCGCCAAATGTAGGACGGTGTGGATGCATGTGCACAAGAGAGTGCATACAACCGCAGATTAGGGCGATGTGCCACCTGAACAAGCATACGCATTACCGTACATACATCATGCGCCAAGCAGTTTCCCCAAAAGCATGCTGGCTTACCGAGGGTGCAAAAAGGAAACCAAGAGTGCCGAACACAACGCCGCCCATCACAAAGCCAGCAAAAAAGCTGCTGTCACTGCCGCGCTCCGCCCTGCATTGTCATGGTTGAGGGATGGGCGATATGTCCAACTGCCCTAAGAGTCGAGTCCTTGTAGAGCCTGGTCGCATCACAGCTCAGCTGGGCTTCATGCCAGGCGGCAGGTGGCGCTGGCCGTGTCAGCTCTGAGGCTGAGCCTGCGCGGCGCTGCAGAGTATCAGCAAACACAACAGGCGCCCACCTCGCCACCACTGACAGCTGCCGCGATGAGGAGGTCGGGCGCGCCACAGCTATCCGCCCGCTGCTCGACGCCCGCCGTTGCTGGCAGGCGGTCCGGGCGGAACCTGCGGGAGTAAGCGTCATACAGGAGGTGAATTCATTCGCTAGGGACATGTTGGCAGCGAGTGGAGCATGGATAGGGCATGTGCAGCAGTTCAAAGCGTGCTCTCCGTTGCAGAATCCGGGAACAGAGCCTCTCGTGGCTGCTGCCTGACGCCAACTAGTCACATTTGTGTCTAGCGTTCGCACACCGCTCAGGGTAGGGCAAGCGATTGCCATGGTAAAGATGGTATGTCCTCAGGTCGCGGGTGCAGTGAAAGGCCTCACGCGGTGCAAAATGTTGTATATGGATGCGAAACAGTCGTCAACAGGGATTGGCTCAACAGATCATGCAGTTACCATCGGATCACCCGTGAAACGCCTGCTCACCGGGCACACGGATCGGAACACGCTGAGGGCATAGAGTAGAAGAAACGTTTGTACAGGTCCTTTTGGCGCTATTCGGCAAGCTGCGTGCCAAATGGCTGCCATCTCGCCCGATCAGGACCAGCGTTTGAGAGTTTGACTCTGCGCAATGGCGGGCCAGAGCATGGACCAAACACTGATGAAGGTGTCCCTTTTCAACGGCTTGCCAGGTAACAATTCAAAGCCTGTTGCAGCATGGTTTACAAGGGGTGATGGGCCAACAGGGCGCATAAGCGTTGCTGACGCTCAGCAAACAAAGATGACAAGGGATTGCAAGCGTTGCTGCTCATCCTGCGCCGCCTCAGCTCCACCTCTGGGATGCCCCTACGTCGCCGCCGCTGCCGCTGCCGCTGCTGCTGCCGCTTCCGCTGCCGCTGCAGCAGCCGCAGCCCATCCCTGCTAGGTCAGTCGGCCGTAGCCTCCGGCGCGATCTCTCCCAGGTAGATGGTGCGGTCGCTGCTGGCGGACCCGACGATGGGCTCCTGCACAGGGTGCAGTTGGGAGTGAACGCGGCAATGTTGGGTGCGCAGCAAGGGCCGGCCCCACTCCCCATCTTCTGGTGCCCAGCCGCACGCCGCCGCTTGCACAGACACGACCCTGCTCTGGAGAACACGTTGATCGCGGCGCCCGCGCCCCCGCCGAATCCGCTCCACACTCACTTTGGGGTGGAAGGCAACCTCGTTCACCGACCCCTTGTGCCCGGGCAGCGCGTACTCCAGCCGCAAGGTGTCCACATCCCACACGTACACGATGCGGTCCGCGCTGCCTGCCGCCACGCGCTTGCCGCCTGGCGACCAGGCGCAGCGCAGCAGCAGGCGCTCAAACGTGTGCTGGTGGCCCGTCAGCACCTTGACGCACCTGGGGGGGGGGGCCGTGAGGGAGGGCGGGGAGCCAGGGGGACGCTATGCAGGCGGGAGCACGAGCCGTGCAGGGGTTGTGCGCAGCCACCGAGACAACCAGCCGGGGCGAGTTGTCTTGGTCATGCGGGTGCCCACTGCCAACAAATGCAGGCGTGCCGCACAGCAGGTATGCGGCAGGCACGCACCTGTCCGCTGGCGCATAGGGCCGCACGTCCCATACGCGCAGTGTGTTGTCCATCGCATTGCTCAGCAAGAAGTTGCCGTCGGGGCTCAAGGACATGCCTTTGTTAAGGGGGGGGATGACAAGGTGTGAGTCAGAAGGGGGATGGCGCGGCCGGGCAGCACGCAGGTATGAGGCGGGCTGAGGCGCACTGTTGTTGCTTGGCAAAGACGATGGCTTGACACGGCACAGGTTCTGGTCCCTGGAGGAGGAGACACCCTGCAATGCTATTCCTCACCGGTGATGGTGTCTGTGTGCCCCGCCATGCTGGTGGACACCACACCCTTCCGCAGCTCCCAGATGTGCACCTGGCGTGCAGCGCAGGCGAGCCAGCAACATAATGTTGAACATTTTGTGGGTTCATAATATCACATGGCCAGGGTCTCTTCCTGTGCTGTGTCTACGTGCTGATGTGTCAATGTCCTCTCGTTCATACCTGCTGCTCAAGTTGCATTTGCTATTCCGCATAAGCCGGCCCCCACTTCTGCCCACACACGTCCCCTGCCACCCTCAAGACTCCCCTCTGCAAACCGCTGCAGGATCGCATTCAAAGCACTCAAGTTGAGCACACCTGGTTGTCAATGCCCCCAGAGTACACCTGGTCCCCCGCCTCCGACCAGGCCACCGACGTGACCGGGAACTTGCCCGCGAAGGTGTGGCTGCTGCGCTTGCTGCGGACGTCCCAAAGCTGAGGGGCAGCGAGGAGGGGGGGGAAGGGTGTGCATGCGAAGAAGTTCGGGTTGATGCTGGACCATTCCAGCCTTCAAGGCCCTTCATCATGACGAAGTATCTGCAGATCCACGGAAGCAACTATTTAGCTACGACCCGCAAATCGAGCCGCTATCAACAAGAGTTTGAGGAGGGGAGCAGCAAGGCCAGGTCGCGCCTGCAGCAGGCCCTTCATGCTGCACAACTGCGAGTCCCCTTGCCACCACACCTTGACGCTGCCGTCGTCCGAACCGCTGACGAACAAGCCGGGGCCCCGATGCATGGGGCACACGCTGTTGACCACTGCCGTGTGCTCGCTCTGCCGCTTGACCTGGTGGCATCAGCAGGTGGGGTAGCACCATGCGAGCTTTGGAACACAGCCGCCCACCAACCAATGCGCGCCAGCCAACCCCTATACCCATTGTGCGACTCCGCAGAGTGTGAATGTTTGTGTGTGAGAGAGAGCGAGTGTGTGTGATTTTCGAGCGTGTACCACTCACAGCACGATCGCCACGCGTTGTTAAGGAGGGAGCTCGCTGGAAGCCAATTCTCCGCGGTCCTTGCAGCACACGCACCTGCATGCCCGTGTCCGCGTCCCAGCAGCGCACGCTCTTGTCTGCGCTGGCAGTGACAATGTGCTCCCCGCTAGGAAACCACGCCAGCTGCAGGATTGCGTTCTTGTGGCCCCTGGTGGGAAGAGGTCAGTGGTCGCCCAGACAGCAGGCAATGAGGGCTGGTCAAATACCAGCGGCAGCAGCAGCAGCAGGAGCAGCAGCAGCAGCAGCCGCAGCAGCAGCAGCAGCAGCAGCAGCAGCCGCAGCGGCAGCAGCAGCAGGTGCAAGTGACATACCAAGCCCGTTGTCCCATACACATACCGTATGAGCATGTAGTTTTCGCACTCCTCCCCATACGTGCGCCACAGCAGGATCGTCTTGTCAAATCCAGCCGAGGCGACAACATCGCCCTCGGGGCTGAACTGCAAGGCATAGACCTCGCCCTGGTGGCCGTGCAGCTGCATGATGGGCGCGAACAGGCCCGACGTGCGCCGCACGCCCTGCATGGACCGCGCGTTTATAGTGGTAGGTCAGCGGCGTGGCAACATGTTGGCCCATAGCGTGGTGCAGGTAGGAACCAGCACCGCAGTGGGCATCATGGCGTTGGGCCTCGTGGCCAGGTGCACGGACGGAGCCATGGCTGCACACGGCAACAGCGCTCAACGTCATCGTCTGCAACATGAGAACAGTGCGCTATGACCTCCTGAGGTCCGCAGCAGCAGCAGCCGGCGAGCGCACTGAAGCACCGCACGGCGAGATGCGGTGCGGTAGACGCGGCGCGTGCCATCTGCAGCCATCGGCACCGCACCTGCTTGTCTACACTGCCAACTATCAATGTGCCATCAGTTTTTTGCCGCTTCACCAGCGCCCCAGAGTGCCCATCTAGATCGCCAGGGGCCCCTCCGGGGCTGTGCGGCCGCTTGTCGGCCATGACAGCCCCGCTATCTATGTTCCCGTTTTGCTAAGTCCAGGCAGTACAGCTCTCACACTGCTTGCGTGATCTGGGGACTGGCTGGGCGTTCACGCTGCCTATGCACGTAACAAATCAATATTGGTCTACCAGGCCTCTGTATGGTACCGTGGCATGAGTTGCGGAGGTGACCACCAGACCACCTGCTGCAGCTGCACCCCTGATAGCGAGTGAGTGATGAATCAGACGCAGGTCTTTCGAGACAGTCCGCGCCTCATAGTTGGAGGCACCGTCTTCTACAGCGTGACACAAACGCTCTCCTCGACAGTTTGGCACAGGTTTACAGGGCAACCGCGTCTGACCATCCCGGGCCCCTGTCAGGGCCTTGTGCACTTGCCTTTGCGTTATCAAAAAGTTAGCCATGCCGAGCCTGGCGAGCCTGGTTCAGGCGTGCGGCACAGCCACCGTTCCCAGCGAAGGCGGTGTCGTGGACCTCGCACTGGCTGCTGCTGCTTCCGCCACGTCCTTCGCGCGCACCTGGAGCGGCCCTGTCGACGTCTACGCGATTGTGTCCAGCGTGCGATCACGCAAGGGCGCCGCTCAGGAGGGGCAGCAGGAGGCGGAGCAGGGCGAAGTTGTGTGCGAGGAGGCGTGCCTCGTAGCAGCTGCCGGCACTGACCAGCCCGCGCCTAAGGAGCACAGCAGCGAGGGGCGGTTTGCGCCGTACCGGCGTGGTCTCAGGAGGCATGAGGCCCCAGCCTATGTCATGTGAGCATCTTCCAGCGGCTCCTGCGTGTGGCTGCCCTTGTGTGCTGGTCGGGGCATTGATTCATGTTGGAGGGGAAGGCTGACGGGGGGGGGCTCCATCCAGCCTTGGCCATTCAGGTTTAAATCTGCTCGACACCCCAGCCTTGCCCTGCATCACTAATCATTCGTGCACCTACCCCTCTGACTGCTCGACTGCAGCTACCCTTACGTCACCCGTGGCTACACCAGCGGCGGCTCGTACACGCGCTGCTTGAGGGCCGCCTTCGAGTGGCACGCTGAGACGCTCAACGCCTGGACTATGGTGTTTGGCTGCGCCCTGTCTGCGTGCCTGCTCAACCATGCAATTTCAAGTCTGCGGACCGCCGGTGCTTCGGGCGGCGGCAGCTTCTGGCGCGGCGTGCCGGATGAGGCCCCCTTCTGGATCATGACGGCGGCCGTGTTCCTGCACGCGCCCTGGAGCATCGGCTTTCACCTTTTCAGGGGCATTGTGAGTGTTCCACAAGGCGGGCAGCTTGCGTTGCAGCACAGCGCGTCGAAGGCGGCCCCAACACGCACGGTCAGACCAATAGCTTGCATCCGCGCTTGCGCACACCCCCACACACGCACATCACACATGGTGCCTGGCATTCTTGCTGGACCGCAGAACAAGGCCGTGTACAACTTTTGGCGGCGGCTTGACCAAGTGTTTATTTTCCAGGCAAGGAGGGATGGGCGCTGGTTCCAGCAGCCGGCGGCCGCTGGACGTCCGTCGCAGCACGTGCCAGCACATCCCCTTCCTGTCCCCACAGCCTATGGAGTAGCAGCAACGCACTCTTGTTCCGTATCACCTCGCCCCTCCCACGCCTCTATTCCCTCACCTCATTTTCGTGGCCCGCTTGCGTGTGTGTCCGCAGGTGTCCCAACTGCTCACCCTGGGCATCTCGTGGTTCGTCTACGACTCGTGGTGGGCCCTCACCCTCAACATGGTCGCAGCGATCATCACCGCCCAGGTGGCCACGATGGACATCTGGGCGCTCCCCGCCGACTACAGGCGCCACCGCGGCGGCCAGGTCGCGTTTGTTGGCTGCATCGCCGCGTGCTACTGGTGGCCCATGGGCGTGCAGGCGGCGCAGGACCTGTGGGCATGGCGCGGCGCGGCCGGCCTCGGCCCCTTGGCTGCAGGTGCGGCAGGGCTGCCGTCGCTCGCAGCGTCCGTCTACACAGTCGGCGCGCTGGTGGCGCTGGCCTTTGGCGCAGCGACGTTTGCCCTTGGCGTGCCGGAGCGGCTGCTGCCCGGGGTTTTCGACACCGTGGGGTTCTCCCATCAGTGGATGCACGTGGGGGCGTCCGCGGCGCACGTGTTTGAGTACCTATTTGTCCTGGAGATGTGGAGGCGGCGCACCGCGGCGCACGCAGGCGCTTGATGCCTCACCCGCCCCGCCCGACCGCCGGGCCCGACCTCTGCCTCTCCTGAGGCTTGGGGTCGGGCCGCAGGGTTTGTACATCAACCAACCCAAACTGTGGGGCCGTGCCCCATCTTGGTCCCTGAGGCGTCCTGTCTTCCTTGACGCAGCGATGCCAGTAGCCCTGCCCAGGGCTGTGCTAAGTCCTGTCGCGAGCCAATCCCCTCCCTACACACGCTGTCCTGGCCGGAACCATGGCTTCTGGCCAGCAATGATGAGAGTCATAGGCACTGCGGGCCTTCACTAGAGTGGCCGTTCACCTGCAGCTCCCTTTTTTTGGCGCCTGGCACCCGAGCTCTGCTCGTGCAGAGCCTCTCACGCCTCGCACCCCAGCACTTGCTGCGGATCCCCCCCCCTGTGCCCCAGCACACAAGTGCTTGCGTCCTTCTGAGAAGGAGCTTGCCAAGCGTCGCTGTGTGTGCTGCAACAGGCAGGCACGCCCGCTTGCAAAGACTTGCTTGAGCATCTGCAGCTCCTATAGTAGTCAAGCACGACAGTTTGCGAGAGAAACAATATCTGGAAATGGTAAAAGAATTCAGCAGTTGACATCAGTGCATGTGTTTATCTGCGAGCATGTGCCAGGCCAACACTTGGCGGTCTGTGGACAGCCAACGCCGCAGCAAGCAGCAACCTGCAAGCGACCAATTGTTCCCTTACGAAGGGGGAACCTTGGGTTTTGGCTGCTGCGTGTGCTCTGCGATATGCTGGGCATGCGCGGTTTTGCTGCTCGTGGGTCAGGTGGCACTCGTGGGCTGACACGCGCTCCTATCACCCCTGCTTGGCCCAGATAACACAGAATCGGGTAACACAGCTCCAAAGCAAATAATCAAGGCAGGGTGCAGCGAGCCGTGTGGAGTATGGCCCGACGGTCTTATGCAGCTGCAGCTGCAGCCATGTAATCTTTACTCGTTGGCTGTGGTTTTGGCAGTGCCAAAGGATATTATACAAATCTAGGCCAATGCTAGATGACGTTTCCTTCATCTTCATCCATGTGCGCACGCATGCTGGAGACCATTGACCAGCTGAGGCACGGTTTCTTGTGCTGGGTGCCACACGCGCGGGTGGTTGATGACGCAGCGTGCAGCGCAGGATGACCGGGAGCTACTCCTGCTCATACCTTGAGAACATTGATAGTGCTGACCCGCGCAGCTTGCACACCGGGACGCTTTACAGTACGTGTCAAAGTGCTGGGGTGAGCGGGTGACCCCGGAACGCTGGTGAGCACTCTAGGTGAAACTTGTGTGTCTTCAGTTTGATTCCTCTTTGTAGGCCTCGGGTCAGCAAAAAGCCCGCAGGCGAACGGTCGGGATCTTGATTGACAGGGAATCCGCGCTTATCGCGGCCACGATGCAGCGTACGTCAAGCTTCAGGAACCTGGAAAAGCAGCATGTGCCATTCAGCATGCCCAAGGCATCGGGTCTGCTCAGCACGGTCGCCCCAGTGGCCCGCAACGGGCTCCGCCGATCGCAGCAGCTGGCGCGCCGCCTGAACGCAGGCGTCGCCGCCGCGGGCCGCCACTCGCTCCGCATGCTGAGCAGTGCCTGGGCGCCGCCGGCGCCGGCCGCGGCGGCCGCTGCGGCGGCGGCATCTGCAGGGGCGGTGGCCGCGGATGACGACCGTGACTTAGTTTGCGACCTCGACTGGAAGGCGTCCCTCACGTTCGCCCAGGAGGTGATCTGCTGGCACACCGCCGGCGCAGTCTGCTGTGTCGCGTATGCGCTGACCGCGCCGGCGGCGCTGAGCATCCCGTACGGCACGTGCATCGGGCTGCTGTTTGGGCTGCTGCTCGTCTTCATGCGGTCGTCCATGAAGGAGGTGCTGTACAAGGTGAGGCCGAGGGCGCAATCTTCAGTTCAAGAGGGCGCGATTTGAGATCAAGAGTCTGAGAAAGTGTGCAAACATATGCTTGCCTGCGACTAGCATCCGACATTCTGCGGGCGGCGGTGCGCTTGGCGCGCGGCCGCCCATCTTCGTCTGAGCCGACCCCGTTGCCCTGCAGCATGCCGCCGGCCCAACCCCGGGCTCCCGCGCGGCGGTTGGCGCTCTCCCGCATCGCCCTCACCCTGACGCGCCCCTCCTGCCCCCTCGCTCTGCCGCGCCCCGGCGCCCTGTCAAGGCCAAGGAGCGGATCGCATCCGAGCTCGGCGATGCAGACTCACGCTTCCACGTCCACGACAACCTGCAGGTGGGGCGGGCGAGGGGAGGGCAGGTTGTCGCAGGGCAGGGCACCAGGGCCAAGCGGCGCACGCAGCGCCCGCAGCGCCCACAGCGCCCGCAGACTCACCCTCCCGAGCCACGCAGGACCCGGCGGCCGCGGCCCATGCC